TTACTTCACGTAAAACCACAACCTACCTCAACTTGTGCACCACACTACTGCAACTGCCAAACCATGTGGCGTGGAAGAGTAATTTTATTCGCCACATCATATGGTTTGGCGCGGCCAAAAAGAATGAAATATAAACAAAAACATTTTGGAGTTATTTTTATAATATGATTTGAAAAAGATTTAAAAAATTAAAACTAAAGCTTCCACCTATATAGGAGGAGAGAATTGGTACCATGGGTACAGTTATAATCCTTCATCTGGGGGGGAGTGTTTTTTTATGTAGAGAGACAAAACAATTATAGCATGCTCTAGAAAGTATTTCACCCCAAAGAGTATCATACTTTTATCCACCGGAGAAGTCTTTGGAAAAGTCAGGTATCTTACTATTACTAATTAGAGGCCTCAAAATGAGGCACCACGTTAATTCTCACCAGACGCGTTAAGAAAAAAGATAAATCCTAGAAATTTTCACAATAATCAGAAATATCTGACCTTTGATTTGGAAGACTCTAATTATCATGACCTATATTAGCCATTAGATCTATTGTACTTTATTAAAAAATTACCCACTACTGTCATTATGAAAAATACATAAAGTAACCCCCTAGTTGTGCATGTAAATTACCCATCTCTGCCATTACAAAAGATAATTCAAAACAACCCCCCATATTTTTATATAAATTACCCACATCAGTTATTATAAAAAAACAAAATAACCCCTAAATTTGTATCTAAATTACCCACCTTGGCCATTACAAAACATAATTTAATACAACCCCTAACATTGTGTCTAAATTACCTAGCTTTAATTTGTCATTATGAATAATAATTTAAAATAATCGTATAACTTTATATCTAAATTACAAACATCTACCATTATGAAATATAATTTAAAATACCTCATGATGATTTTATAAACTATCCACCTTTATCATATATGTCGCTGTGAAAGATAATGCAAAGTAATATTCTAACTTTGCATTTAACCTATCCATATATGTCGCTGTGAAAGATAATATAAGGTATTAGCTTTATATTTGTACGTACCTTAGCCATTATGAATAATAAAAAAAAATTCACTACAATCTACACATAACATTAATTTATATTACCACAAAAAAATAAATCAATACCATAAATGCTATGTTGCACCATGTATATCAAATAAACATGTATAGATTAGGTTAAATATTTATGAAACATGGAAAATTATTAACTTAACACACCACGTAGCAATAACACTTTATATTAATAAATACTCCATGAGAAAGAATTTCATGTTATTATTTTGAATAGCCTTGTACATTTTTACTAAACATTGTCATGTCAATATTATTAATTTAATTTTTATGCACTCTATGATATATATAAATAATACTACACACATATAATCCTGAGATATAACAAATTCAATATGTTTACTGTTGGGATGCAAGCTAAGTTTCAACTTATGTGGTAAACAATACTACTAGGATCTAGACTATTATTAATACAAAACAATTTTGAATAAAAGATAAAGAGTACTAGAATTTCTAATTAACATGTGAAAAAAATGCAACAACTCGATTAAAAGTTAAAAGATAAGCTATAGATTTACAAAAACACACAGAGGGTTGTATCAAGAGTTTATATATCTTAATACTAGATTTAAACTAAATACATATCACACTAGAAAAATAAATATAAATACTAGAATTTCTAACTAGAGGCCCCTGTTGGAGCCAGCATGTTAATCCTGACAAGACTTGATGGGAAAACAAAAGATAGATCCTAGAAACTCTCCTAAAATCAGAAAATCTTAGCATCAATAAGGTATAACCTAATCACCATTGATAATAATAATAGCTATTTGATCTATTCTATTTTTAAATAATTATTCATTTCTGCTATTGTGTAAAACAATATAAACTGACTCATGACCCTAATTTATATTACCCACATATGTGGTTAAGAAACATGATATAAAGTACACCTCAATTTGCATTCAAGTATGGACGTCCTCTTATTATGATCGATATAACTTAATTTTCATCTCATTATTAGAAAAATTAAATATCCCCTCATACCTGCATCTAAATTTTTAACATCTCCTATTACAAAAAAAATGTTTAAATGATGAATAGAGCATGTATATGTTTCTAGATTAGCCCACCTCTATCAATATTAATATAGTAAGATTCGATTAAAGTGAATATATGCATTGTACCAACATGAATGAGCAATAAAATACATATGTTATGCTTCATCATATAAAAAATATTTTCTTAATAACTCTTATACTAATGATACAAATGAATTATTTAAAACCATATTAATAACCATAACATATGATTTATATAGATTATTACTTTAATAATTTATGTATTTTAACTAAAATATTTTATATGTCTATATTGATAGTATAACCATAACTGTAAATATAATTTCTTGATAGTAAAATTCACTCCTCTTAAAAAGTGTGGGAGACCACTGATGGCTATATTTTCCTGGCCCTTTAAGAATATTTTAGAGTAAAAAGTCAATCATTATAAGATTTAAGTATTAAAATTCTCTCGGGGTTAGCATTGCTACCCTGTCGGAGATCTCACTTCAAGCTCTACGACTTATCTTAAGTGATATGTTGCATGTTTCAAATGATGGCTTATGCTATTGTTTAGTACTTAAGAACATACTCTATGGCCTAAAATCCTTATTTTTAGAATGTGTAAAAAGGAGAGTTAATGAGAGATACAATAAGCACAAAAGTTTCAACTTAACTTGAGGAGAGAGAAAAAATCCGTAGCAGTCGATAAGGATAAAATTTGAAAAATCAAAATTTATATTTATGACTTCGTGAGATACATGATCCAACAAGAGCCACCATGATTAATGGCAAGGTTTCAAAGTAATTGCATATTTAAAATATATAGAGACCCTATGCAAAGAAAAAATATGAATATGGATAAAAATATATAGATTATTCCCTTGAAAATATAGTAATTAATAGGTCTTTGAAAACTATATATAGAATACAGAGAATCTATTATGTCTACTATGTTGGAAAATAAACAAAGAGAAAAACTTATAACTTAGTATAAGTAATTCTTTATTAGTCAGAGGTACTCTCTTCATTCCAAAGTATAAAACGTTTTGAGTTTTCTAAATACATAGTTTTTACTACACACTTAGATGTACTGTATAGATACATAGTAAAAATAATATATCTAGAAAAACCAAAATATCTTATAATTTGAAATGAATGAAATATAAAACAGTACCTAATACTTTTATCTTCTAAAATTCTAACACCTGCGAGAGCACGGGTTGATGGACTAGTACAAACAATCATAGCATATTCATATTCTTGGTGTTTACGCAGAGTCATCGTCGCTAGTTCTTGGCATTTAGCATGCCTCTAATTGCTAGTGCTATCATACTGCATCTGAGCATCCGCCTACCGCCATTACCGGACTCCCTGAGTTTGCCGAGTGCCCGAAACACTCGGCAAAAGACATAAAACACTCGACAAATGGTTCGCCGAGTGTAACACTCGGCGAACAGCACTCGCCAAAAAAAGTGACGGCAAAGCCAACTTTGCCGAGTGTTTTTTATCGGGCACTCGGCAAAGCCTTTGCCGAGTGCCCGACACTCGGCAAAGTTGGAACCGATAAAAACCCGAAAAAATAGGAATTTTTACCAAAAAAAAATAGATTTTTTTATTGGAGGAGGCCCCCACAGGCCAGCGCCCGCGCCCATCTCCACAATTTTTCGCGTCAAATCACGGCAACGCGGCAGAAGGGAATCGAACCCGCGACCTCCCCCTGCCAGCAAACCTCCTCTACCACTACACCACGCTTTCATTTGTGTTTGGATTTCGTTTTAGTTCCTAATATACCGAATGCAAATTGCTTGTTTGAGGCCCTAAACGAATTCAAATAAAAAGTTGTAAACTACAAAGTTTCATAACTTTTTGAGATCTACACTTTTAGTTTAGGAAGTTTTTCCATCCGAGGTCGTTTACAAAATTTAAATTTTAAAATTTTGAAATTCAAATGCAGTTTTGCATGACAAGATGATTTCAAATCAAAAAGTTACCAACTACAATGTTTCATAACTTTTCGAGATCTACAAAGTTTATTTTGGTTGTTTTTCCATCCGAGTTCGTTGGAAAAGTTTGAATTTTAAAATTTTGAAATTCAAACACGGTTTTGCATGACAAGATGATTTCAAATCAAAAAGTTGCCAACTACAATGTTTCATTACTTTTCGAGATCTACAAAGTTTATTTTGGTTGTTTTTCCATCCGAGGTCGTTTGAAACGTTCGAATTTTAAAATTTTAAAATTTAAACACAGTTTTGCATGACAAGATGATTTCAAATAAAAAAGTTGCCAATTACAAAGTTTCATAACTTTTCGAGATCAACAAAGTTTATTTTGGTTGTTTGGTCATCTGTTCATCCGACATGGTCGTTCTAACATTGTTCATAAATCTTATATATCTCTCTTGTAGTTTCATAAACTACCAGAGAGATATGTTAGATTTGTGAACAAATTTACTTTCACTTTTTCATATGAAGAAAAGACCAAAACAAACATTGTACATCTTAATGAGTTATACAACTTTGTAGTTGAAAACTTTTTCATTTGAATTAATTTACTGCTTCAAAATGTGCTTTGAAATTTTCTTTGCCGAGTGTAAAAAAAAACACTCGGCAAACGAGCTTGTTTGTCGAGTGTCAAGAAAAAACACTCGGCAAAGAGCTTCTTTGCCGAGTGTCAAAAAAGAGCTTGTTTGCCCAGTGTCAAAAAAAAACACTCGACAAAGAGCTTCTTTACCGAGTGTAAAAAAAACACTCGGCAAATACGTCTTTGCCGAATGCCAAAAAACAACACTCGACAAACCACTTTACACTCGGCAAAGAGCCGGTCTCTGGTAGTGTGCTAACAGAAGGAATCAGTCACCCATGCTCTTTGCATACTTAGCATGAAACTTAAGAAAATCAGGTAGTAGCTAGCTTTCATGGCAGCCGCTAGCGGGAGCAGGCAAGAGAGGTGGAGCCTCGCCGGCGCGACAGCGCTGGTCACCGGCGGCAGCAAGGGGATCGGCGACGCGATCGTCGAAGAGCTGGCCGGGCTCGGCGCGCGGGTGCACACGTGCGCGCGAAACGCGGCAGAGCTTGAGGAGTCTCGCCGCCAGTGGGCGGAGAAGGGCCTCGTCGTCACCGTCTCCGTCTGCGACGTCTCCGTGCTGGCCGACCGGGAGAAGCTCATGGACATGGTCAAGGCGACCTTCGCCGGCACGCTTGACATCCTGGTGAACAACGCCGGCCAGGCGTTCTTGAAGCCGGCGGCGGAGTGCACGGCCGAGGACTACTCGCATGTGATGGCGACCAACTTGGAGTCAAGCTTCCATCTCTGCCAGCTCGCGCACCCTCTCCTAGTCAGAGCTTCCATCGCCGGAGGAGGAAGCGTCGTCCATGTCTCCTCCATCGCAAGCTACCTGGGTTACCCAGGGCTCGTGCTCTACTGCGTCTCCAAAGGTACCAATAAGTGCATGCTATGCCAATTAGAAATATATATTGCACAGACGGCAAGAATTTTGCTGGGTATATATTACTTCCTCTGTCTCAAATTATAAGACGTTTTGATATTTTTAAATTCATAGCTTTTATTACGTATGTAGACATAATATATATCTAGATACATAGCAAAAGTTACGAATATAAAAAAAGCAGAAGTAATAGAGAAGAAGCAACTTAGCATTAAGAACCAAGATAAAAAAAAAACTACCACTAAAAAAACCTGTCAGATACAGTTCTGACAAGCCTGAAGAACCTGAAGCATATGAAGCTGTGGAACTCGGAGTTGTTGTCACAAGCAGCCCAAGTACCAAGAAGCCCAACAGAGAAAGGAAGCCCAACACTAAGTACTTTGGACCGGCTTGGATATCCATGTAGCACAGGCCCATACCTTCCAGGAGGAGAGACGTGTAGATCTAAGAGGGACATCACGAGGAAGGGGAGAGCAGGATACAACAGAGAAGTAGTTGGCCAGCTGTGTCCGAAGACGGCGGCGGGAGCTTATTGCCCTGTTCTTGTATCCATCTCTCGTTAGTTCTGTTCTAAACACCATAATATACAAGGCAACCATCACAACGGCATAGAACACACGCACCAGCACTGTAATGGCAAAAGACGCCAGCCTCACATGCTATTGCAACAGCCAAAAAATAGGAAGGGTGTGGGGTTCCTTGTAGCAATGCCTCTATGGAGGAAATGAAATCCTCAAATGGTCGCCTCAAATTGATTGACGCTGCCGCAAAGAACTAGCCACTGATATGCGTGGCCATTCCATGTGGACCGCAGCCAAACCAACAATCACCAATCCACAATAGGCCACCCCAAAAAGGGCACTGTAGCATGACCATATATGCCCGCACCTAAAGCCACCACCATAACCACAGCTTCCGTTGTAGACCAAAGTTGATAGAAGCGTTGTTGTCTCCCCCATCACCACCAAAGACACTCCGCCCCACCAAACGTAGGGGCTGCTGTAGTCACACCGAAAAGGCCATCGCCAAGTGGGACCAGCCGCCGGCCCCCCTACGACCGTGTTGAGGTGCCTCCCGCTTGTTGTCGCTGCACACCGACAATGCATTGCTATGCTAGAAAGTCACTGTGGCGTTGTCACCAGCCATCATGGGTTGCCCGAAAATGGATGAGGTGCACCAGGCTAGCAGCCCCGTTAACTGCCATAGATTCGCCTTGCTTGTTGCTGTCGTTGACACCACACTGGTGCGGCAGGAACCACGAAGGATGGTGCCACCAGCCACATCCGAACCTACACGTGGCAAAGTGTGGCCTCACCTACATAGAAGCATGACCATCCTTCTTTCTGTTGTGATGAAGCATCACCGCAGCACCATCTCGGCAACACCAGACACCCGGGTCGCCGAGTGTGGGCACGGCGGAATCCAGGATGAGCATGCATGCATGGCATCCCGGCTAGGTCAGCGGGGTTCCTGACCTCACGGCTTTCGACTGGGAAGAAGTCCATGATGACGTCCATGATGTTGGCTGAATCCACGCAGAGCCTGAGTGCTGGTGGCATCTCCACCCACAGCGTTTCCGCCTCCTCGCAGTGGGCCACCGCACTGCCTCCACGTCGCCGCTTGGAGCTTATTGTGGCGCCATCATAACCAGCCCGAGACACCGAGCACTCGTAGATCCAGCCTAAGGGATGACAGATTTGGCCATCGGGCCACTACATCCATTATCTGGGAAAGAATACCATGGCTGGGGCGTTCACGACCGCTGAGGTACTAGGGAGGGGAGAAGAGGCCCCGTGTCGCCCTCCTTGTAACCACCATGTCTGTTAACCCACTCTGGTGACGGTGAGGAGATGGGGGTGGGGAGGAGGGCTAGCGGTGGGGCGGCCGGGCCACCCATAGGAGCGACGAGGGCGTCTGCTCGGTATAAGGCATGCAACTTCTATGTAAAACAACAAATTTTAAACAATAAATTTTTACTATGAAGTTAGGTTAGCACAGGTGTAGTCAGGATGTTAACTCGCATTGAAGCTTGAATCTTGGGATCCTCCATAGTACAATACATACTTCTTAAAAATAAACAAATATTAGGCATTTTGCAATTTAAAATCATGACTTTAGAATATTATGTATGGTTCACCCTTTGGGGGTCGGGGTAGTTGGTGGTGGGGACTGGGGAGAGTGGGTTAGTTAGGTGTGTTTGGTTTGAGAAATAGAACGGTCCACTATCATAGTATCACCCTTCATCGGAGTCTTATTTTTTTATCAGAAGAATGATTGAACAACGCATGTCACAACATTTTTCGTATGCATATAATTAACATAAATAATGCAAAGGTTGGAGTAATCTCATCGAACTATGAACTCATGATAGACTACTTTAACTAGGATTATACGATTTCTCAAACATAATAATCCCTCCTTGTTGGCAACATTTTTATCTTCCAATGATCTCGTTCAGATAGACAAACCTATATAGCCTTTGTTTTGTTTGGGCCGAAGCACATGAGATTCCCACAAATTTACGCAAAAGAGCAATATCTCACTCTCTAGACATATTAAGTCAAATTGTTTGAACAAAACTTTGTATTGTTCATTCAAAAAGTATATTCTCTTTGTTTCTGACAGAATTCTACTATCATGCAGCAGCAATGAACCAGCTTACAAGGAGCCTGGCCGAGTGGTCCCAGGACAAGATTCGTGTGAACTGTGTTGCCCTAGGCGCTGTCACGACTGATATACTCAAACAGGTGCATAGCCACTAGACCTGCGTCGTCAACTTTTCCAATGCCCCTCAATTATTTAGAGTAAAGTGTACGGTTCTCAAATTTGACTGATGCTAGTCCTCATGCTCACAAATTGCATCGTTTCAGTCCTTAAACTATCCCGGTCCATCTATCGACTTGTTCCTCCAATCCTATGGCAGAATAAAGCAAGCCAAACAAATAAGAAAATTCTGATTATACATATCAGAAAACAAAACTCCGATTACTTACATTTTTGTATGAGGCTATTCTACATAATTTCATTTCTCTACCACGATATAATGATCAATTAGCTAGTACACAAATAGAAGAAAAATTGTCCACATCAAATGGTGTACCAAATGCATCTGCTGCAATGACTTTGTTTTAACCATAACAATGCAAATAAGACAATTTATTTTCACCAAAAATATATGTTTGCAGAAAAATCACATTTCCCGTGCATTTCATGATGCATAAGATCATAACTAAGGCTGCATATATAACGAGGGTACGTACATAGACAATGAAGTTTGCCTACTTATTCTTTTTTTTTTTTTTGAGTTGACAGGTAGAACCAGAATTTCTGGAACAGGAGATTTCACGGATTCCGATGCAGAGGTGCGGGAAGGTAGAGGAGGTGGCGTCCGTGGTGTCGTTTATGTGTATGCCGGCGTCTTCATATGTCACTGGCCAAGTCATTCGCATCGACGGTGGCCGGACCATAAGTGCGTGAGCTTCTAGCTAATATATATACTACTAAATATAGATGTGAGTTACAATGAGATATTCAGCTTGTTATATTTCTTGGATGACTTGCAGTGTGGAGACTTTATTTAGCAGTCATGTCATGCGTTTCAAATTATCTGAGAATCGAACTTCGTATTGTTTCTAAATGTGTACTGCTCTAACCCGTACATTATGAGAGGTTTAGAGCTTTATCAATGATTGTATCATGCGGTCCAATGACTCCGGTGGTAAACCTTAACTCCTCCGTCTAAAAATGACGAATCATATTTGACCAGAGAAAAGTCAAACCTTACTGATTTAAACAACAATTAGGCAGTTGTGCATCTCTTTTTTGAGTGTCCATTCATCACAAACTGTTGGCAGTCTATCTCTATCTGTTGGAACCTGCAACAACAACAACCTTTAGACATGGTCATTGAAGCCCGAGATGTTTTTGGCAATCACATCTTCAAAGAAATTATAATAACAGCCTGCTGGACTATTTGGACAACCACGAACAGACTCACTTTCAACAATGCAAATTTCTGTTTAAATATGTGCAAAGAAGACTTAAATAAAGAGCTTGGTTTGGTTTGTATCAAAGCCAAGTAAAATGTAAAAACCGCTTTAACTTTGTGGAGAGAAAGTATCCCTTAAATGTAATCTCCTTCTCTTTTTTGTTTTTTAGGAAGCCTTGTAACTTGTACAGATATATACATACTAAAAAATTTAAGAGGCCTCCCCTGCCGATCCCTTGAAAAAAAAGTTTAGAGCATAAATCTTACATCAGTAGATTTTGTATTGAAAGTGCTGATTGATGTTTTAACAATTAACTACATATTATAAAAAATATAAAGGTTAAAATCTACTTTGTAAGACTTTTACCCTAGTTAAATATGATTCTCGTTGCCGATGGAAGGAGTATTAGGGGTGTTCATATGATTTCTCCAGGAAACACTCCACATTCTCATAGGACTCGCTGTTCATATAGCTTACTTCTGTTTTTCATGGGGATGTAGGTGGATTTGACTGGGCACCGCTTGCATTCTTAGTTTTTCCTTTTATTTATTTGTCTTATCACCTCCATTCACTCCCTCTTTTTCTCTTGTTCTCTGTTCCCTCTCTATATCTCTATGGCTCTATGGTCGGTGTTGGAGCATGCCTCCTAGGTCGGCCCTTGCCGTATTCTAACCCTTCCCACGCAAGGCCCCAAGCGTCTTAGAGGGGAGGGCAGTAGGTATACATTGATCGGTGATTATTGTTCCAATACCATATTAATTATAGCATTTACTACATACATCCAACTACAGAAAAACTCAATAATGAATTGAGAGATGGGAGGGGTGCAATAAATGCGAGGAGACTTTAAGGAAAATAAATGAGCTGATTGACCATTTAACCTCCTAGAGATTTATTTATTGCATATACAAATTGTTGAGCTTTTGTCTTGTGATACAAAATAAATGAGCTGATTGACCATTTAAACTCAATACTGGACGCGCTTCACCATATGGGTGAC